GATTTTTGTTTTTTTTATACAACAAGGGCAACAAAGGCAGCAAGTGATGAGGGTTGTAATAATCTTTTTTAAGAATATTCAAAATATCAAAAAATTATTTTGAATGTCTGAAAAATAAAATGATTTATTTTTTTTTTAAATTAAAAATAAATATATCTAAAAACACACAAAATATACATTTTAAAAAAATAATCTCAAATGGCCATAAATTACTCTCAACCCGATAGCTTATCCTTTCTCTAAGGAGTTCTTTACCGCCAAGTTCAAATTTTAATATGATTTTTGAATTATTTTATTTAAATTAAAAAAAAATAACATGTTTTTAAGATAACAAATATATTTTATTTTATGCCGAAATATAAATAAACAAAATAAAATAAACAAATAAAGATTAAAAAAAAAAAAGATCCCAAGCAATCGTAAAATCTAAAACAAAGTTGTTTATCCAATAGTTGAGTATAGATGTTGAGCATCTCAACAAGGAAAAAATTGCCCAAATCCTTCACATTCTATTGTCAACCTTAATACATCATATAGCTCACGTTGATCAGATCGTGATGCATATTTGAATTGAAAACTTTCATAATTAAATTCAAAAACATCTGATCTCTCCTTTCAATAAACTTATAGCCGAATTGAACATCATAATGAGAGAAACCCGTCAATAACAAGAGTCAAAATGAGCTCATATCAAACACTTGAAGTGTAATTGAAAACTTCATACATTAACAGTATGACTAAACAACCGCCAAATTTAACATGATATAGTCAAATCATCGACAACAAATGCTTTATGATTAACATAATTAATATGAGTCATCCAATAAATAAAATATGAGTCAGCCAAAGAAGTGTTATAAATTTTATCTATATTTATGTGACATGCAACTTTCAAAAATTTTCCCAACTCTCTACATCAAGGAAGGACTTAGATTGAGATTCAAGAGAGCTTAAAGGCTTTAAGAATCACAATGCTCCACCTGAACATTGCCATTGAATCATCATCTAAATGTTGTTGTTCGATGACCGCCCAATCAACATTGTCATATTATATCCGAGCTATCATCACTCGACTAAGGTCCTCTAGCCCGACGTCCGTCGATGGTCCTTCGACCACCATCGCCCAACCAACATTCTTTGATCATCATCACATTTTTATGGTCCTCAAACCACAGTTGCTTGAATATAATTATCTGACCACTATAATTTAACTATCATCATATAACCAACAACACCCAACTATGGTCCAATAACCATCCATATCTCGATTGTGGTTCTTCAAACATTATAACACTTGTATAATCCTCTAACCCCAGTTTCTTGTTTACATTCATCCAACCACCATCATCTGATAATAGCCCGCCTAACTTTATCTTATGACTCCGACGACAATCGCCTGATTATGATTTTCTAACCACCATCAACAGATTATGCCACCCCTCGAATCACCGTTGTCTGACTATCATCCTTCCACCATTGTGGTTCAATTATGGTCCTTATAACCACAGTCACCTAACTGAGATCCTCTGACCAATGTCAACCAACTGTGATCCTCTAACCAAAGTCATTGGACTATGGTTTGCCATCCTTCATCGCTTGGCTATGATCCCTCGACCTCCTTCACCCAAATTACAGTTCCTGATTACCATCGACTGACCACTGTCCTTTAACCTTATATAATCCAGCGACGATAATTCAAACAACATCATCTGATTACACTCCCAGACCTATGCCATCTAATTACGAGCATCCGATCACCATTGTCTAACTATAATTTTCCGACCTTTGTCACCTAACTATGATATTTTAACAACTATTACTTGACTATAATCTTCTATCCATCATCACTTGATTATAATCCTTCTTTTAATGTTGTCTAATTATAGTCGCTCAATCACTCTCGCCTAACTACGATCATTTGGCATCTATCACCTGCTTATGTTCCCTCAATCACTATTGCCTGATTATGATTCTATCAAGCAACTATAGTCCTCTCATCATCTATTAAGAGAAAAAAAAAAAATAGTCCTCTCATCTACATTGCCTAACTATAACCCTCCGAACTTCATCATTTGACTACAATCCTCCAACCTTTATCATTTGACTAAAGTATGTTGTCCAATTATGATCTTCTAAATACTATCACCCATTACAGTCCCCAAACTTTCATCACCTATGTATCATACTTTGACCATCATCACACAACTATAATTGTTTAACATACAATCCTTTAACTAATATCACCTTGTTCTATGGATGACTACTGACTTGCAATATATTCTTATTAAAAACATAACATGCAACATTATTAATAAGAACGATGCACACCATCAATATTATCTCCGACTCCTGGCATCACCATTAGAATTTATGCTGGATTTCTTGATCTCTACTCTCCTTTTCTCAAATGAGTACAATCAAATATACAGTAAATGATCTCTAAAAGATAACTCATGTGCCTTAGAATTTGTCCAATTTCAATCGTAGAATTCATTATGTACGACTTATGTATATTATATTGCATTAACATATTTTCTAATTATGAGAAAAGAAATCAGTTGTAACAAATGACAAACATTAGTAGAATCATTTCAGTTGGGTTAGGTCCCATGATTTTTCATTTACCAAGTGTTTTCATACAAATACTTAAATATTTCTTGCAACTACTCTCTTATTTGTGTGTGTGATGATTCTATTTTCACATCTTTTAAACTAACTACACTAATTTTTGGCATAAGATGTAAAGCTTGTTAACAAGCTTATAAATTTGATAAAAAATTGAAGCAATGCATATAAACTCTAATGTTTATAAGAACTTTCATACATGAATGAATGAAACATTTCTAATGCTTCCACAAAACTAACTTGTATCATCTTATTAAATTTTTGTGAGTTTAAAATTATGTTATATGTTTAGATTTGGTTTGTTCAAGCGATTGAATTTATCACTTACTCTATTATAGTGGGTAAAATTTCATAATGAGCACTAGAGATAGATTCAATCAATCAAGTTGTAGCCAACTCTACCAGCCTACACAGTTGCAGAGGAAATTGCTCTCATATGATGAACAGCTTAAACAGGTCAAACAAAATTAAGTTTCCTAAATAGTCATTCAAGGAACAAGGGGTATGATCTTTTTAAGTTGGCCAATTAGGTCAGAAGAACTACTTAATTTATGATTATCTTGATTATTGATCTTATGCTATCTTTCTTATTAAATGTTACATGAGGTGGTATCCAAAATATATATATTCTTCACTGTCTTATAATAAATTATAATCTCACAAGTTCTCTATTATAATTATTCCACAATCTATAAATTCTAATTATCACTTTCATCATCGAGTGACTATGGAAAAGAGCAATAGTTTCAAAGGATCTAAGAAAGAAATAAGGAAATCTTAAAAATGCTTCAAAAGATTCACAATATGCATCTCTAACTTATAATTTTAAACATATGAGAGCTAAGGGGAAAAGCTGCATCAAAAAATGAAACAATATATCATTACATATAGCCACATTGCATATCATACATGACATGTATGATAGCCTTATAGGCGCCCATGTGGCTCTTCATCTTTGACTAATTCGTCAGTCTAAGGGCGAGTCTTAGAGAGCACATAACTACGGTGAGTTTTTTGGGCAGGCTGATGAGTTAATAATGATGAGTTTCTCTGGGCAAGTAGCAATTCTACACGTATAATTCTCAGGCTATAAATGTGAAGGGTTGGTTCCTTCGAATTATGATAATCATGAGTTATGAGTTGGGACATAGCTCATTTTGGTCTGTTGGTTAAGAGCTTAGGCTACTAACTAAGAAGTATTGGGTAACTTGAGTTCGAGTCTTATGTATGCGTTGTGTGTGTTAGTTGCCCTAATTAACCTAAATGTCCCAAAAAAAAGTTATGAGTTGGGTAAGTTGACCTTGACCTCCCGAGATGTTCCTTCCATGTAGATGTGTTGAAGTGTTGATAGTGGCTAGCTAATTTGGGTGAGGACAAGTAGCATTAAGGGCTATCTCCCACAAAAGAGAACTGTTTTTAAGAGTCTGAATGAATCTATATGAGTTATTTGTCGCTCGTGTTGGCTAGAACTTGTTAGGTCCAAATTCTTCTTTCCGAACATGTGAAATCCCAATTTACACATATATGAGTATGCACCTAAAATGACACCAATTTTCTAAATAATAGCAATATAATTGAAAACACCTCATTTCTAATACTACTCATTATTACATAGTATGAATCTTTAATAACATCAACACCTTTTTCTTCCATTCCAAATCAATCAACATAATACTCAACCACAAGCCTTCTTATGATCAATAAAAATTATATGAGATTTTCCCAACGATAATTCAATTCACAGAAACAAAGGCATCCCAAATCATGATGCAATGTTGCAATTCACAAAAAATTCCAAACCTACATATCACCAACTTGTAGTAATACCATAACGCAAGTCAAAACCATAAAATCAGGAGAACTTAGCAAATTGAAAGGGCTCATACAAAAATAGGTTCAACAAAATCATTTTACGCAGTGTACCAAAACAAAACAGATTAATCTCTCTTTCTCTGAGAAGAATTAGAGAAACTTACAGAGACAAAGAAACAAATCAACATCTTTTGAACAGAGAAAATTGCAAAAGAAAAACTCTGGAGCCCAGGACTCATAATTTTCATTTAATAGATTTCTTCCATTAAAGTGCTAAATTTGAATAACTTAAATCAAGTGCAAGAAGAGAACTGATCACCCTGAGCTCAGTCTCCTTTACGCCGGAAGGAGCAACCCTCTGTAAGCCTAGCCTTCCCTCCAGTTGGCTGGCAAAGCACTGTCTGGCAGTTTCCACAAACAACTACTGTTTGAGAATGGCTGAATACAGTAGTTCTGTAGGATAAAACCACACAAAGAACCATCAGAAATAAAGCTCATAACTGATCAAGAAATCAATGAAAGAACACCATATCATAAACTTACATGTTGAAGCAACCTTGGCACTTGACATCCTTCAACGCAAAACAATCAAATCAGAAATCTTCAGTGCCATTTAAAAGGGATATATCACAATAAAATTTTGAATTCAAAAACTATAATACCATGAAGAAGGAATTAGGGGACTGGACAAGACGCTTGAGCTTGTGCTTCTTCTTCTCAAGCTCGGCCGGCGGGTTTAGCAGATCAATATCGTTCTGAAGAACCTGGAATGGAAAAGAAGAGAAGAAAGCGGCAATAAGATCATAATTATAGATTCAGCATATCAATATCGCATATTGTAAGAATCTAACAATATAAATTGGCATTGAAAGAAAAATGAAACCACAGCATAAAGGAAGGAGCTTTGTAAGAAAATCACATATGCGAATGTTGAATTTGCATCAGGATATCGGATTCAAACGATAACAGATACAAAACGCAGAAGCTGCTTACCATCTTTGTTGAAGAAGAGCTCGGAAACCCTAATTAGGCGGCTTTCTCGTTGAAACGTTTGGACCTTGAGAAGAGATAGATTGAAACGAAGGCCTTCAGGAAAGAGTGCTCACAACAAGGTTAGCAATTGCAGACCATAGGATCTATCCAAGAAACATCTGAGCCGTTAAATTAGCTATCATAGCCAAGACCGATCACCGATGATCGAACGGTGAGTAGGATCTATGTTTGCGCTAGGCTTAGAGAAGATTAGATCACAACCGTTCAAGTCCCTAACGAGATTTCTTGATGGTAAAGAAATCCCTTTAAGACATAATATACATGTTTAAAAATTCTGGATTTGCATTATCCTCATTAAATTTTGTGTTAGGTTTGGGTTAAATATCCGAAACTGTTTAAATTTTAGGTATGTTTCAGATTGACACTATTACAATCATATTCGGGATAAATCGGCTGTATTCAGGATAAATGTAAACAGGTTGTCTTGATTCATATAATTTTGTATGATCTATATAATAAAGAGTTAAACGGGTTAAATTCAGGTTAAATAATTTGATTCATATAATAAGCAAGTCAGGTTTCGAGTGAGCATGTTTGGGTTGCGTCAACGTTGGTTCATACCTAAAACCAACCCACCAACTCTAGTCTACATCCCCTATATTAAGCTTTCTGTATACCATAACCCTCCCTCATGATAGGGGTGTCAATTTTTGACACGACCCGAATCCGATCCGAAAAAATTCGGGTTAGGGTCAACTCGGACCCGAAATGGGTCGGGTTCGGGTTGACCCAGCAACCCGAAAATGATACGAAAACACCTATTTGACCCGGAAACCCGAGATTGACCCGTTTTTGACCCGATTTTGACTCGAAAACTAGCAATTTTAGGTCAACTTCAGATCATTCGTGTCGGGTCGGGTTTGGGTCCGGAAACCTGACACATTTTTAAAACGGGTCGGGTTCAGGTTGAACCGAACAGTGTCAGGTCAGTTTAGGGTTCGACCCGAACCCGACCCGTTGACCCAAATTTACACCCCTACTCATGAACTTGTCTCCCCCTCCTCTATAAAATATGTAGTATTCCCTCATTATCTTTGGTATAATTTTCTTATTTTTTTATCAAATTAATCTAGAATCTATACTAAACAAATTAATAAAAATGTATTTTTTTTAATCAAAATGGATTATCATGTCGGATTTGATTTGTAGTGGGTCAGTTTTGAGTCTACCTTTTTGACTTGTTTATTAATAGGGTCGAGTTCATATTTATTGAATTTGGGTCAAACCTGTATGCGTCCTGTTGACTAGTATTAAAACCCTTAATTGTGTGTGTTAGAGAGATTGAGTGAGAGAATCAAATGAATAAACTAACTTAAGGGGAAAGACTTAGGCTTCGTTTGGGACGGCTTTTTTATTGCTTCTGAAAACAGAGTTTTAGTAAAAAATTAAAAAAATTGTACTAAAACTCCGTTTTAAAAAGTAATAAAAAAGCCGTCCCAAACGAAGCCTTATTTTTGTGGCCCATAGTTGTGGTCTTTGTTCTTAAATAAATCAATCACAATCTAAATGGTCTCATGTGGGATTGAGCGGTGTGGCTTATTAGTTGACGGTGCCTTACCTTGCGTACAACAATTTCCTGAACAATCTCGTCGGACGAAAACGGCTCCGCGTCGTCAGAAAATTAACTTTTCCAAAAAGCTTTTCAACTTTCTCTCTCCTCAAAAAATTAGATATTTTATTTTGATTTTCTCTCTCTTCAAAACGACTGATTTCAACTTTATAATACACAGATCGGCCCGGCCGATCGCCAGATCGTCCCGGGACGATCAGACCAAAATTGATCGTCCTGGACGGTTCCCAGAACTATTTTCCGGCTGATATTTTGAACAGTGCCAATCGGCCTGGCCGATGTCCTCGATCGGCCTTGACGATGCATACAGGAAAACACCTGGAACAAATCTGGGCAATTTCTGGAGCAAATTCTCAACTGATCGTCCCAGGACGATCCCAGATCGTCCTGGACGATCCTGGAGCAGATTTTGATATTACAACATCCCCTATATTCAGCTTTCTGTATACCATAACCCTCCCTCATGAACTTGTCTCCCCCTCCTCTATAAAATATGTAGTATTCCCTCATTATATTTGGTATAATTTTCTTATTTTTTATCAAATTAATCTAGAATCTATACATAACAAATTAATAAAATTGTATTTTTTTAATCAAAATAGATTATCATGTCGGATTTGATTTGTAGTGGGTCAGTTTTGAGTCTACCTTTTTGACTTATTTATTAATAGGGTCGAGTTCATATTTATTGAATTTGGGTCAAACATGTATGCGTCATGTTGACTAGTATTAAAACCCTTAATTGTGTGTGTCAGAGAGATTGAGTAAGAGAATCAAATGAATAAACTAACTTAAGGGGAAAGACTTGGGCTTCGTTTGGGATGGCTTTTTTATTGCTTCTGAAAATTTAGTTTTAGTAAAAAATTAAAAAATTTGTACTAAAACTCCGTTTTAAAAAATAATAAAAAAGTCGTCCCAAACGAAGCCTTATTTTTATGGCCCATAGTTGCGGTCTTTGTTCTTAAATAAATCAATCACAATCTAAATGGTCTCATGTGGGATTGAGCGGTGTGGCTTATTAGTTGACGGACTGAAAACCCTCCTCATTGGTTGTGCTCCAATCGCATAACCTGCCCTCAAAAAAATAATAAATAAATAAATGGTCCCATGTGTCATGTCTCAAGTCATATGGTTATCCTAAACATTGTATAGATAATATTTATATGACATAGTTTTAAAAAAATCACTATATATATATAATTAAGAAAACAAGTATAATTAAAATATAATTTTAAAAGGAACAAAAATATAAAGTGGTGGTCATTTGATTTGGAATGCAAAAAATATTTAAAAGAAAATTTAATTAGTTTTAATTAAGAAAATCAAATAACCTATCACTTTTTTATTTAAATTTTTATTTAGAGGATTTTTGTTTACTTAGTATACAATTTTTAATGGATCTTAAGAATTTTAATTTTGTTATCTAGTGAAGTTAATTTTTTTTAAATGAAATGCTCTTTTTTATGAAATTATATTTAAGTAACATGATGAATTTTTTGAGATAAAATTAAAAATTAAGTTCAATTTTAATTAAAATTTGATAGGAATCTCCTCATATGAATTTTTACGTGATTGAAATCTTTTCATCAATAGAATTAAAATGCTCCAACGAACTTGCCGTCGAGTACTGTCGTTCTGATGATTAGGGACAAATTAATTTTGCTAGAATTTTGATAACTAAAGTTTTAGCTTTTAGAGATTCAATTGGTGGGCCATATAAGACTTGCAATCATTTGGATATGGAAGAGGTGTGTCTGAAGAATAATTCTAAAAATTCTTACAAAATTCTAATTGGTTATGATGGGCCAAATGTAGGCTAGAATCCAATTAGGTTAGATTCAGTCTAATTTTGGATGATAGGTTTAGGAGGGATTTTGGAAGAGATTTTATAGGAACAATAATAAGAACTCGATATGGGATGGCGTCGGGATGAGCTGAGAAAGATTCTAAAGCTAAAAGAAGAGGATAAGATAAACTTGATACTCACCAAAATAGTAATATTAAAGATATCACAAAACTTCTTCATGTGAGGGTCAACCACCAATCATTCTCTTTTTGGATGGAACTCCAATTTTAGCAAACACAATAAGTTCCTCTTTCCATCCTTCATGATGCAATATTTATAGATGTTTCATAATAGATTAAATTGAAATAAAATTGGGAGGAGTTGTGGCTGACCGACTTGAAGAGATTCAAAAGGGGTAGTTATACACTTTTTGAAACGTGTATCCATCTATATCAGTGAGTATGCCAGTCATAACTACTTGAAAAATGGTTTTTTTTTTTTTCATTTTATTAACTACCAATTCTATTTAGATTCAATCTAACATTTTGTCATTATCATTCCTCAAAGATTTCAAAATCCAAAATTCAAAATTTTAAAATTAAAAATTCAAATTATACAATTTTTAGTTATACAATTTTGCAATTATATTTTGATTCAATGGGTCCAATTTGATTAAACTGGTTCATTATACTTGAAATGGGTTATATTCCTTCAAGTGATTGATCACTTTGAGACATATAATCTAATTGAGTTAATTGAGCTCATCCAAAGGTCATTTGAATATCAATCCTATGTGAGTTAATGATCTAGTCCTTTTGGAAGAAATTTCATTGAGTGCTATAGTCGCTTATCTTAAGATAAATGAATATCCTCTTTGGGTATTAGAACTTACTAGGGTGTCCTATATTGACCTTGATAAAGTCAAATCGATACCCATAAGCCAAAGGATTGATTCTTTTTGTCAACCATACTATGATTGAATGAATAAGAAGAAAAAAAAAATAATGTATATACCATTGGTACAACTTACCTATATTAACCAAGGTCAACTATAGAAAAGGCTTATCTTATGATGGATATAAGGCAAGCTTATTAGGCATAAATGATCCAAGGTTTCTACTACGGATACTTATATTATCCAATGGGCTCTTATTATCATCCTAAGGTCTTCTCTTATGTAACCTAGTTAAAGGTTAAAGCTAGAATTCCTATATGGGATGAGTTCATAAGAGCTCCCATTATAGGAATTGGATATCAAGTTAGCATATGAGAAAGAACTTTGAATGATTCTTAGGATTGAGCTAGGCATTCAGACATAAGGTGTCTAGATATTCTTAGAGTGGGAATTTGAAAGGAATATTTCAAACTTTCATTCCAATTAAAGAATCCTTCTCATCATCGAAATTTTGATATTACTGTGCTAACATTTGCTTGTAAATAGACTCCATTGAAAACTATTTTTTGGTTTGATGATACAAGTTATCAACTATGGCTAAGTAAAATCTCAAATAAAAAATATTTAATGACAGCCTAAGAGATTTCACTTATGGATATTTGTTACACTATAATTTTTTTTTAAAAGTGAGCGACATTATGCTATTATTTTGAAATAATAAATTTTTATTCTCTACTTCATATTACAAAAAGTTATTGTTTGTACTATTGCTTTTAAGAAACTTAATAGATCATATAGAGAAATATTTTTCTTACTTTTATTCTTTTCTCATGCTCG